GAGGTGGGAGTAATAAGCATTTGTCACAACAAATTCTGCATTAGCAACGACTATAGGTTAATATGCCTTGCTGATAACTAATATGAATATTTTATAAATATTTCGCTCATTCTTCACCTAATAATAATGGTTGTATTATTGGCATTCATCGAAGTTTTATTAAAGCTGTTAATGCTGTATAGCGTGAGAATACTCATGGAAATATTGTCAAGCACCAATAAATCTTTTGAATTTCATTATTTGAGTAAGTATTAATTTAGAAAACGTTGACGATATGAGTATGTTTCAAAGATTCTGCGATTATCAACAACTTTTAGAAGAAAGGAAGTAAGTAATAGTAAGAAATGAAATTTTTCAAAAATAGTTAAATGCACGTACTTTTGGATTCACACGCAAGGATATTCTTTAATAACAAAAGGAAAAAAAAATCAAACATTGCTATATCTGTTTGTGTCAAGCATTGAGTTGCATATAAAATTGAATTTCAAGTTATACAACGGGCAAACGATTGAGACTTACTGCTTAATTGCATCACTTGTTAGTGTTTATAAAACTGATTTCACTTGAAGTGTAGTGATTTCAATTTACTAAGCTTTTTAGGAGTTTTAATAACACTGATATCATTCTTAGTCATGTTATTGTAATGGCATCCTTAAAGCCCACACTAAATTTCATTTGTTAAAAATTTAGAAGTCTTCAAATTCCGTTCTTCCAATATATTTTGTCAACTAATGAGCATTTCTATGTTATTCTCCACTTCAGTTTTTATTACCACAGTGAATCTAGGATTAGAATATAAGAGCTAGAGTCGATTACGGAATCGTAACTGTAGTTGGAGCGAGATATGCTTCTGTTTCATGCAATCTGATATTAAATATATTTAAATGAAACCAAACTCCAATGGTTATTTTATCTGTTTTGATTGCTATGGCGTCAAGATGAAATGTTATAAAGAGATAGAAGAAAGTGGTGAATGAGAGTAAATGTCTAGATCGTCGATATATTAAGACTACTGATGTAAAATTTTGCGTAAATGAAGGGAAAGCAATAAATAAATAAAACCCTCCACATTACTTCATCAATTGGATAGTAGTAGAATTTAATTAAAATGGTATTTTTTTTCGCAAATGAGTAAATGCAAAGTGATTGAAGCTGGTGGTGCCCTATGTTGATGGAATTTTTGAAGTGGTACTTCCGAAATATTTCCTTTTGAGAAAGTGTAACTTTCATGTGACAGCATTTTTGGATTGTGCGTTCATTTTCGAAGTACTGCTATATTGGAATAACTTATTATAACACTTGCATTGTACTAGTTAACTAATTACTGCTAGAAGTCAAGATCGGGAGTAAATGAATAAAAATATCAGTTTTGTATTCATCATTGAAGCTCTAATGTTTTCAAACTGATGCTATATAAAAGTGAAAAAACGAGATTAGGAAGACCCTCTCAGCTTTGATTGCACTGCAAATCGAATTTGTTCCATTTCTTTTGTTTTCAGTTAACTTATCTGGTTTTACTGGTGCTTAATACTGTATCCAAAAATGATATAACATTGAAGTTGTTATTTCAGTGCTAGCTAGATGTTAATTTTGCGGGCAACTTCTAGCTCTACTAATCCCATTATTTCATATCAGAGGGTTATTTGAATAAATTATAATCTTGTTATTTCAAATTTAAGTGACAATATGGCATTTGTTGAATTAATGCAGAGTTTATCGACGTACAGTAACTTCAATTTTTTTGGCGGCCATAAAGGCTTAGCGAACTGTGTCAGTGAAATGACGATCACAAAGGCAATGTAAACGAAAATTAGAAGTATTTATTGGAAAAAGATTAAATACAAAAACATTTTCATTGTTAAAACCGGGGAAAAAATACTGTCAGTCATCAGTTCACTGAAACAGAAGCCTTTTTCAGAGTTTCACTCAGACACATAAGATTTAAATCGATGTTGATCCTGAAAAATTTTTGAGTCATCTAGTGTTGATAATTCACCAATAATAAGGTTAAATAATTGTGGTGAGTGCAGTACTTGTTTACAATCTGTCTGTCTATGCATCAGTAATTTGGCTTATAGGAAATGGCGTAACGCTTAATTTGTTAAAGATGGGGTCATTTGTTTGTAGGGTAAGAAGTTAATTGGTGGACCTCTGGTTGTGCACCGATAAGAATCAAAATGTTGAAAGAATTGTCTGTACCCTCATATTGACTAAAGACATTCTTTTCAGCCAATTAGTCGTTGTCGAGCCTCAGACTTAATACTAAATATGCACATTCATTAAATTGGCTAAATTATGTGTAATATTGCGCGGTTATTATTTCTTGTCTATTATTGCTATTTTGTTCATCGAAGTCATAATAATTTGGTTGTTGAGTCGCAAAAATACTATTTATTCACATGCTTAGGATGAACAGAATTGCATCTTTGTGTTGTATCGCCTACCTTCCTAATTATTTTATCATTTTGGCTTTGCTTGTCAGTACTGAGAATAACTTAGAGAAAAGGAAGGAAGAGGGCTCATTTTAATGAGCAATACTATATAAAATGTATAGTTTGTGGCTATATATATTTATCTATAATCAACTGAAAATGGCATAGATAAATTTGCATTTCTTTTTTTACATTGTTCAATGAAGAAAAAAGAAAATGAATGGGAGAAGCAAACTTAGTCACTGAATAAAACGAATATATTTTGTAGAAGCCATTTAATTGGGTTACAAGCTTCAATTTTGTCTCATTTATGTCCAATCAAAGAATCTGGAAATGTTTTGAAGTATAAATGTAGCAATACTTTTTTCAAAAAAAAAAATACCTAAATATGCAAAATGATTGCTACACTAAAAAGGTATTAATTTTTATTAGTATTTGAACTAAATAGTTTCAATCATTACCGAAAAAAATCTCAGATTGATGTCAATTGATGTAAAAAAGGATGAAAATTCAAGCTAAGTCAACTCGTACACAGCTATTCATGGAAGGCGTTTGTTGCATATATTCACGATATCATAATTACATACATCTTGACATTTTTACTGTAATAATACTCCTTGTGGAAAATAATTTGATGTATGAGCCATATAGACGAATACGTTAAAAAGGAATGGAAGCACTAATGACGCGTTTATTTTGACTATTGAAGAAGGAATTGCAAGATATTTGATAATTTGTTTTTGAATTTAAATTGAAAAATGAATTTTGTCAAAAATATGCCTCATATTTTGATGATGAATTAAGATCAGAAAGTGAGCAAATGAATAATAGAAGCATATAAATGAATATGTGAAAGTAGGATGGTAGCATAGATGACACATACAGGACTAATACTATTTATGCATTTGTATCAAGATTAAGAGAGAGGTTGATTAATTAATGTAATTGAACAATTGCTAACTTGATTATCTAGAAAGGGAAGAGATGACATTATCTCAGAGCAGAAGAAAATGATGATTACACCCTGTTTATATTCTGCTCATTCTTGGTACAATAACATTTTTAATGAATTTTGCAGCTGTTTCTTCTTCTTTCATTATCTTTGTGTTTATTTTTTCGAAGTAAGAAAGTGAAATCATACTTTGTCCACATACAGTAGTATTATTTTTATCGTAAGCATCTTATGATGCTGGACGAAAGCACTCTAGAAAATTGTTTTAAGTTATTTCTTGTCGCTAAATTTCTTGTTTGCTAATGAAACAAGTAGACGTAAGCGAATATACAATTACAATAATATTTGTCGTTCAAGTTATTGTAATTTTAAGTGATCTGCACCATGAGGCTAATATTTGTCATGGAAGAAAGCAGTACTATGCGAGGGATATTGACTGAATAGAGTACAATGTTAGAATATTTACATTGATTAACTAATTTAAGCATATAATGTCATGCTTATCATCAGCTTTCCCAATTTTACACGAAAATCTTTTTTACACACTTTTTTGTGTTTATTTAATAAACTAAGGAATTGCGATAATTTTGCAGAAATTTGAAATTCCTTCAGCAATTCCTAAATTTTTAGCTTACATTTCCTGCCCATAATTAAGAATTTATCTATCTTTTCCATTTTGCATCAAATTTTTGAAGTATATTTGTACACTCCTATGTTGATCTTTAGCATTAGTAAGTTTTCTAGGGCATTTTCATTCATTTCTGGCTTCTCGATCATTTTTATCCCTTTCATTCATTCATTTGCATATGCAGTTTAATAGTTGCATTTGACTATGTGATTGAACTTGTCAACTTTCATGAAATTATTTGAAAGTTATTATTTTGTTGTAAGAAACTTTGGCTTACAGTTATATCTGAATAGTCCAGTTAGTATTAATATTTGATCAAAGTAAACTGTCTTCTTCATCTCTTTAATTTTTCCATCATTTCATTGTGCATTAAAGCTTTGTACAGTGAGTAAACTATAATTATATTTATCATTTTTCTTTAGCAGATTATCACCACTTATCATATAAGTGTGTAAACTACATTTATTTTCTGGCTTCTACTAAAATTTAGTTAATAACATTGGCATTAGTTATTGAATCACAGTGTGGGTCAATGGTTTTTAATTATATTTCGTATGTACTGAAATTTCAAAACAGTGTTTACTTCTACTTTAAAAAATGCAAAGAATTATTGTCGGTGGTGAATGTCTTTTTGGATGAAAAAGTTCTGGAAATTTTTGTTAGTAACAAAAAAATATTTTAGTTTACCAAAAATTTATCTAAAATTTATGATGCAAACATCTAGAACTTTTCGCTTTATTTTGGTCTTTTTTGTTTTGTAGCTGCGTATCTCTTGAAGAAATTTATGATTTAGAAATAAATATTCCGATGTTCAGACCTAAAAATAATTTTTGTGGGATAAAAAACAAAATTCCTACCATTTTTTTGTTATGTGGAAGAAACAAACTTCGTTTTTATTGCATTTTAAATGTGTTTACTTCATCATTCCATGCTTTATTTTATTGCCAGATGAAGAAAAAAATAAAAACACGAAATTCAATGACAATAGAATTGTTTTGTTCAAGAAAATCATTTTATTCTTTATAGTTTCACTGATCGCTCACGTTTTCCCCAAGATGCTGAAATTGGTGCTGGAGCAGCATTCATTGAAGTAGATGCTATGGATTCAATGAATATCCTCTGTCCTTCGTACAATAGTAGTAATAATAATGATAATAAGTATGAACAACTCGTTATTTATCAGGTGACTTTTGTCAGTTAAATTTTTCATGCCTATGTTTTAGTGCTTGTACGTACACATGTAGATTAGCAAGTTATCAGTGAAAAATTAATTTTGGTAATTTTAACCGAATATACAATAATAAAAGGTAGTTAATATGTATTCATTATTTACTTGTCTTACTGTAATAGACAGTGTTTACTTTATCTCATATACACTATTGGTTAGGTATCTGATTTATCATTCATGAGCTGCGAATTGGACAGCCGCTCACAGATATTTCTCGTTTGTGATTCACCTTTTGCTAGAACTGCTCTTAGCCATCGAATTGTATTTCGACAATATTCACCTTTGCCAAATGGTTTTGAATATCAGCCGGGTCGATCGTATTATTTGATTTGTAAGTCCTTTTTTCCTATTCCACTAATTTATCCAATTACTAATTTATTAGGTTGGTAGGAAAATTTTTTTCTTTTTTATATATTCTTTTATTATGAAATTTATTCTAAAAAATAAATATTTTGGTCTTCATAAGAATTTCAGCAACATCAGATGGATCTGCAGAAGGAATGAACAATACTCGACGAGGCCTTTGTGTAACTGCTAATATGAGGCTACGCATCGATGTAAGGCCTTTGAGTGACCAATCCCATGCAAGTCATGAGAAAGGTGACAAATTATTTCTTTTGGTTAAGTTATCTAGACTGGGAATTTAACCCCAGAGAATTTCGACGTAAAATTTCCGTCACGACTTTTAAGGATGTAATAGAAAGTTCTGCATGATTCTTGAAGACTTATTAAGGACTTGAAAGCGAAATTTTTTGGAGTGCTTTTATTGCTGCTATGGTAAAATACAAAGTTCCATGAAATTTTGGGGAAGGACAGAAATGATACTTGTAATATATTACAAAGTGATACAGTGCTATGGAACAAACTGAAATTTTTTGAAATGTATTTTAAGTATCCTTTTTTTTATCCAAGCAATAACAATTCATTGTTATTAGAAGTGGACACAGGATCTGGATTTTCTACATCGAGAATCAGAAAAGTGAAACAAGAAGTGTGGACTCGAAGTGGTCGTTTTAAATCATCTGCTGATGATAACACACGAACAAAACAAGGAGTTACTGTATGAGTAGTTTTAATAATATCGAAGAAAAACATAACGAAAGTCACTTGCGTAATTTGTCAATGCATTCTAGCGATATAAATAGAAAGGTAAGAGGTTTAATTGTAGGTCATGAATGGATTAAGTAATGAATCACAAAAGTTTGCTGAAAAACACGGTTTTGACCTTATGCAACTTGAATATGTTAGGCAGCTGGCAATAGACGGTGTGGAAGGCGATTTTTCATTTCGAGAGATTGAAAATGACTCTTTGGTTGGTTTAAACATGTGCTATAAAATTTTTTATTAAAAATTATGGTTTGATGAAAACTAATTAGTATTTATAGAAATCTTCAACGGATTTGTCAAAGACATTTGTAAATGACCCCGTACAACCAGAATCCTCAGATGTACTTCCGGATCGAGATTTGTTTCATTCTACTAGTAGGCAAGCACAACGATGGATTTCAGAAGAAAAGCAGAATAAATTCAGTGTTTCACGTGACCTACATACGGATCAGAATACTGCTACCGTCGGTTCAATACAAGACTACGTTGTAGATGATATATCCGGTAAGATAATCTTCAGCAGTAGAATAAAGCATACATTCCCCTCCCAATTGCTATTTTCTTTGTTTTTTCATTTCCACTTGGTATGTAGTAATAATTTTAGGTGCTAGTTCTACATCAAAACAAAGAATAATCGAATGTCTAATGCTTGCGGTATTGTTACTATGGATTTTAAAGAGGTGATCTACAGTATTTCTGTATTATATCTCCGACGAGTGTTAAGTAATCCATGATCTACTTGACTTCAAATGCATTTTGTACATGTGATTGTAATTAGTTACTCTTATGCTTCAATTCTTGCCATATTAGCTGCTTGAAAAGTAGAATGGTACTCACCATATCGAAATTTTTCATGTATTTTTATTAGGAATTTTCCTTTTTAGTGGAAAGAAATCTGTACATCAAGGACTGACTTGAAAAGTAAAACGTGAGTGAACGCTCTTAATTTAAAAATGTGGGGAAACTAGTTTCGACTGCAGGCTTGATGGAACTTTCCTAGCGAATGTAGAGCACATCAGATATTTGTGAAGTCACATGCTGTACTTGATTTGCATGGCTTAGGTACCCATTTTGCACTTTCTAAAACTTGTCTAGCTAATTGCGAGATATGAAGCGAAAACCATCCATCATGATTGTTCCTCTCAAAACTTAGAGTGGTGAATACTTTGTTATATAATTTATGTATATTGCGGACTGGCTTTTGATTGTTTAAACGGGTTATGTTTCCGTTACTTTTGTCTTTTTCTCACAGTTCTCATTCCAACAGTGCTGCTTGAAGTTCTGTAATTGATAAATTCATTGTAAAACTTTCTTTTCAAACACACACATGTTTTCTAAGCTCCAAAAAACTCAGATGTTTGCTGACCATAAAATTTATGCCTGAAATCTGTCTTTGACAATAACTATGTTACGTCAGGCTAGGGACTATAAATGCACATTTAATCCGGCAGTAAATAATTAAGAGTAATGGATTTAATTGCAAACACAGGTGAGTTACATACATGTTGGACATTCATATTTTTGAGTATTATTAGGTCATAACAGTATTTTTTAATCTCCGTCCTCGGCCTTTTCTGTGAAATCTTCTTGCCCTATTTTCGTTGCATCTATCAGACTTCATGCGGCCATCGTGCAGCTTCGCACCAGTTCTTAATCTTTGACAGTTCTTACCTCTGATCTAAACTTGCTATCTTGCAGTCTACCATTAGTAAAAATTAAAATTGTAAAGCAACACTATCGACATGTAAAAAAGAAAGCATCAAGTTAATTATTACTACAACTCTAAATCTTATAATCAAAATATTTCAGCCTACCTTGTTTTTTTTTAATACTCTAGTAACTCGTAAACTGCGGTTTTTAAAATTAGATCCATCTAGACGTAATGCCAGCGGAATCGAGGAACTTTCCTTGAATGCTACAAAGGCAAAGCCTTTGCTAATACCAGTTTTTCGATCTCGAACTATTCTGACAAAAGAAACATTTCCGGTCTAAAATTTGAAAAATGTAACAATGAGATTTGATAAGAAACGCAAGTAAATGAGAATAAATAGTCAACCATAAATATCAATAACTGAAATTTTGTCATCTGAGACATTTTTCAGATGGAAATAAAAGTAGTTAGAATATACCATCTCAAAATGCGCGACAAGTTCGTTTTCGGACACATCATAAGGCAAATTTCCCACAAAAACTGTTGTTTGAGAACTGTACGTTCTCTTGCCGCAACAACGATCCACTCTGAGTAAATTCCCACAATACCTTTCTCCATTCCTAATGAGAAGATAATTGCTTGAAGCAACAGTCAACTTGTAGATCATTATTTGGAAATGTACTGTGGCAAAAAATGGAACTTCACTTACATTATAAGAGCTCTTTCAATTGCATTTGGATCTTTGAATTTCACATAGAAGGTTAAAGACTTCATTTCACTTGAAATTTCTCGCCTCAATACCGCAACCTTGAATGAAATGATAACTCAAGAGTAGAAGTTTCCTATTTTCACAAATGCTAAAAATCTATGAAGTCTTCAATATAAAAACCTTTTTAGAAATTTTCTCACTAGCAGCAATAACAGAACGCAACCGCACACTTTCAACAGCACCAAACTGAGAGAACAACTTTTTGATTTCCTTCCTAGTGCTTGACAGCGGAGCATTTCCAACAAAAACGGTTCGATCATTCTTGTCTACTATTTCTCTATCTTTGATTTTACTAAAAAATTGCAAGAAGTAGCTATGATGAATTCGTTAATACTAAATGACAATCTAAATCATGTTAATGACAAATTATTATCAGAAATGTTTGCAGAGCTTCTTACCGTAAAATCGTGAAGATTTATCAAAAATCTATATAAAACTGAGAAGTGGTTCTTACGAAATCCAATTCTGCGCTGTGGTATTGGATAAACGACCATGACATTTATTCACTTCAAATGATTTCGGTTGCAATTTTTTGTTGCCAACAAAATAAGGAGGAGACTGGAAATGACTTGGAAATTACAGTTTGAAACCAAAGAGAATCAAATCGAGAATATGAATGCAAAAGTTTGAAGATGTATTAGTTGAAACGTAATTTGTACAGCAGCGTATATATTGTTATTCAAGAAATAAAAGCATTGTATGGAAACTTAAGAAACTGCACATACCGCATCACCATCATTCTGAAATTTGACTTCATTTCGCTTCTGTAATTTCACAGTCTCCACAGCACTACACTTATCAACAGCAAGAACATCTGACAGCGCTCCCGGAACATATGTTAATTCTGAGAACATTCTGAAAGATGAAGCCTTAACCCACACTTTTTAATCCATTACTTCTGTCCATATTTTTACTTCATTTCAATTGATAGCTGATTTACAAGTTTCTAAACACACTGATCAGAACTTTTCAGGGAACTCATACGCATATTACTTAAAAAATAATATTTGGGATGATGTCACATAACATCAACATGATAGAAAGTTATCTGTGCGAGAAAGAACATAAACACCAAGTTTCATAAAGACAATTTGGAAGCAAACAAAGGCAATTCATGTAATATAAAAGATATCGTACGCATTAATAAGAATACAGATGCAGAGGTCCGTGACCTCCAACACCATAAATAGCACACCTTCTAAGTGAATCTAAGACTTATTCACAAAATGTATTAAGGATGCCGTACAAACAAAACAATCAGGTGTTTGCGCACTCAAACTCGACCGAGCAATATTGACCTAATTTCTTCAATAGCTGAAAAACTGATTCAGAGCTACACTTGTAGAAACAAGGTAATACTACCTGAATCTCAGCAATGTCAAGCAGAAGGAATCATGTTCACTACAACGAAGGATACTTTCAAATATCAGAAACCATAGAAACTAAAAAAAACAAGAGATTGAAAGTCGTAACACAAAAAATGAGAACTGCAGCGAAATAACAGAATGAACTGAGATCCTTACAAGTGACAAAGCAGTACAGTCTCAACAAAATATTTTGAGCAAATTTTAATAGATGATAGAAAAATAGAAAAGTTAAAAATCAATATATTCTTTCCTTTACATATATATCTAAACACATAATACAAGACATGATACTTTATAATCACATTCTTATAGTTCGAAAAGTGATGTTCAACAATTTCATTGAGATGTATGCAAGATAAGCAACTTGAATACTCAAAATAAATTAATTCTTCACAAACATGCATATTCTTATGGATTTATAAATAATAAGTGCCTGAAACTAAATTTTCTTGAAATTTCTTTATTTCTATTAATAAATCACATTTGAAGGATAATATCCATCATCATCGTGTTGGCTCAAACGTTCATAGCGATGTATTGTTCGACGTGATGAACTTGGTGCACGTCCCTCAATAATGACACCTTAAAAAAGCTCATAAGAACTAATAATTTGAAGGCATGATAAGTTGAACTGAGAAGCGAAATTTAGCAATAACCAGTAAGTTTCGGCAGAGGCATTCTCCAAGCAGTAAAAAACAATTGCATTGCTTCAATTCTTGATATACATGAATATTTAAAAAGCAAGACAAAACTTGCCGAGTATTTTATTCCTGTTGCGGGATACAACATACAAGCATATAATAATAGCACTAATTACTACAATGCAAGATAGAGAAGGCATGCTCTCAGCTTCAGTAAATTCCTTGACCTCAACGAATGGCTGAACTATAGCATTATTAAAAATTGTCGGGAACAAAACAACAAGTAAATTAATATGGAAAAGATAACATGATAAGCAGAACAACTCGAGAATTTTATAAGCCTAATTTTGAAAATTTAAGAGGCATAATACACAACTGCTTCTAACGATAAAAAATGAAAAAACAAAGGGACAAATTACCACATTCGTCCACATTTTTCTTACGATGCCTGCTGAAGGTTCAGCAACACTTTGCTTCCTGTATTCCTTTTCCACTTTGCTTCCTGTATTCGTGTATTCCTTTTTATCATTTCCACTGTCATTTTCCTACAAAAAGAGAAATTATCCAAAAAATTTTTCAGCCCAACGGCAAACTAAAAACAAAGGCAACATGACCACACCTGTATTGGGGATAAGATATCGCCCAACTCACTGGAAGACTGCTTGACAAATTTAACTTTTTCAGGATGCTTTTCAATAGCTGAGGTGCCAAAAAATTGCGGTATTAGTGTCTGAAGAAGTAAAACGATTGCTGATGAAGAAACACGTTTTTATCAGAAAAGTTGCTGGTATTATGGAAGATGCGGCAATCACATTCTGAACAAAGAACTACCAAAGTCATAATTATGAAAATAATGCATAGACAAAGTTGAAAATAATGTCAAATACTTTAAAATCAAAAAAATTAGATTCTGAAAAATGTAAGCAGAAAGCAATTACACTTGCAAAGGCAGATAAAAGCGTTGTAACATTTGTTTCTATCATTGCATTTTCTGTCAATTTGGAATTGCTATCGGTACCTGCAACTGTGCAATTACGTACTGATGATATACACATGAAATAAATCACTTTTATTGTTAATTTAAGCTATTACTGGAAGGAATAGTAAATCTTACTATTAAGATGGCCTGCATTCTCTTCAGCAAGTATCCACTGCCTGATACACAGAGAGTAAAATAAGATCAACCACAACATTTTGCCTTCGATATCCAGTATTTTTTGGTTAGCTATCTAAGTATTACTCTGGACGATTAATTTATTTCTGTTACAAGAATGAAGTACGAGTCCGCGACATAAATCTGCAATATAAACAAGCAAAACCAAATTGATGTGAATTTAATACAATAAGAAGTTATTAGAGGCATATTAAGAAGTCACTGCAATCTTTCTTTTATAAGTATCAAGTATAAGCAAGGACTGTAGCAAAGGCACGCTAAGTTTAACCTAGTCAATAGAAAGCAATGGAGAAAACAAACCCCTTGATACGAGCACAGCCAACTTTAATGCCTACAATTCAAGTTTTAAACTTATTACAATGTTTTTAGAGACTGCAGCAGTATTGTATTTAAGAACAACTCATTAAGTTTTGATTGCATAATAGGAATTTGTAATGAAGACAGTGAATATTAATATTCATGGTAATAATGTCTTCATCACAAATTTATATCATGTAATCTTTACGAATTGTCCTTAAATATATTTAAAAAATGCCCAAATACTTCTCTCTAAAGTAATGAACTACTTTCCTCTTCCACTACAATCTAAAAATTAATAAATTGAAGAACCGTTGCATATCTGTTGCATGCAATGACTTTGATAGTTCTTAGTGAATGACTGATTTGTAATTGACTTTCATGCAGGTAATGTGAGGAGGTAAGGTAGATGAGACTGTGTTGTACTGTACTACTTGATCTTAGGGTATATATGTAATAATATATCGTAATGGAGGAAAATTCTCTTGCAATATGTGTTGTTGAGAAAATTATTTTTCATGGCTTAACAAAATTGTTTTACATTAAGAGTTTCCAACTGGCGTTTTCATTTTCAACCGTCACATAATCAAACATTCTTAATGATTCCACGGTATTGGTGTTCCTTCGCTGTGAGTTTTTTGCTTACTTTTGGTTTATGGTTTTTGGTTAATTGTTACAGCTTGCTTGTCACGTATGCTTTTTGTTTTAAAGAATTCATTGTAAACAAGAAAACAAAAATATAGACAGCTGACCTATGTTCAACTTTAAATTTTACAGTGGCAAATCTTAGTCGGGGCTAAAGAAAACTTGTCATGGTATATGCTTTAAGATACATTTAATCTCGTAATTACTGTGAGACGAAATTTTAGTGTTAAATAAAGTGTCATTTTTAGAAACGGTTTGCATCTTCTGGTTTACCTGCTCGAAATGTTGCTACATTTAGAGAAGAAAAGGTATTTCTATTTTTGATTCAATTATATTAGCAACTAAAGAAAAAGCCTATGCCAGAATTTTGATTTCATTTTGTTCAAGATCTCACGATTGCCAAATGGATTAGCAGTTGCCTCTGTAGATCTTGGCGGTCCAGTGTCACAGCTGGTAATTGCATATAAAGCAGGAACACGATATGAGATGCCTGATGAAGCAGGTTTAGTTCATCATATTCGGAACTGCTTTGGAGGTGATTCATCAAGATATTATGGTGCTCAACTACTTTGGCAATGTGGTTCAGCTGGTGCTAGTGTAGTACGTATAACTTCATTTAATTTTAAAGATGGTAATTGAGCGAGGACTGTTACCTGGAAATCTGCTACGTGAATTGGAAAAAATATCCAATGTGAGTATGTGATATGTTATAAAAGTTGGCAATAATTCATTTTAGGAATACGTAGCAGATAATTTCAGAATTCAATGATGACGCGTGACTTGCTTGGTGTGCAGATGTCAGTAATCAGAGATCATGCCCAGTTGGGATTATCTCTTTTGGGAGAATTGGCTCAACCAGCATTTAAACCATGGGATGTTGAAGATTTCAGTGAAGCTTTAAATATTGATCGCAGTTATCTTAAACCATATGACATGTTGATGGAGAAATTACATGATGTAAGAATCTGCCATTTTGAATCTATTCATGTCACTAACTGTTCATTAAAGAACCATGTTGAGTCGGGATTATTACTTTCACCTCCGTTGCAAGTAATCACTTTTTAGTATTTAGGCCGCGTTTCGAAATGGTCCTCTTGGAAATCGTTTATTCGCGAAAGAAAAAAGCATAGGCAAATTCAGTTACCGGAAAATGCAGATTTTTGCAGTATGTATTTCTTATCGGGCTGATTGGTTATTTTTCTTACCTAAGATGCCTTATGTCTCCATTACAAGGAAGTTCTTTTAGGCTTCACAAATGGTGACTGGGAATGCTGTGCTTGTTGGAGTGAACATTCCACACGAGCTAATTGTAGATTATGCTAGCAGTCAGTTCACGTTACCTGAGGGTAGTCCGTGTTCAGTAAAACCATCTAAATATTATGGTGGAGAAGAACGGCATAAAACTTTGCTGAATGAAGCTCATGTCGCCATCGCGGGCAGAGGAGCTCCTTTGACAAACCTTAAAGTATTTGTCAAAATCATGTTTACGACTCATGCTTGTATTTTGGTTCTTTAATTGCCGAAATGTAGTCAGTCCTTAATTTCAGATAATCAGAAAGATGTGGTCGCTTGATTCTTTAGTAACAGTTTTTTTTAATGTGTTCATATTACTGCTTTGAAAGTAAAAAGTAATTTTATAAAAAATGTACCGAGAATTTGGGGAAGAAATTCAGTAAATCGGTTGCTCTAATTAATCATTTACTATTTTTTTAAATTTAGGGCTTAGCCACGCAAGCTGTATTAAGCGCTGCTTTTGGTCAAGGAGCATCAGCAAAATATGCCGTAGGTGCTGGACAGGGTGCAATTGCGAAGGCAATTTTCGTAAGTTTTTGATATTGCTTCCTCACTCTGATGTTTTAAATATAGCTTGCGAGCGAAGAAAATAATTATTTTATCGCTGATAAATTTATTACTTTTTTGTGCTGAAGTTTCAGAAAGCGTCAAATGGTTACCCATTTGGTTTTGATTCGATATCAGAAGTATATTCAGATGAAGGACTTGTTGGTATATATCTTGTTTCTGAACCCGATCATATAGGCACTCTCTGTGATGCTGCAGTAAAAGCCATAAAATCATTTAAGATCGACGATTCAGTTTTGGAAACCTCAAAGTTAGATTTTTCTCGTGTCTTTTTAATGTTAGTCCTTCTCATTTTGTGATCATATCCATGTGCTTCATTCATGTTGAATAATTCTGAAATTGTCGATTACAGAAATATAGCCAAAATGAACGTTCTAACTCGAGCGGAATCGGCAGAAAATCTTGCAGTAGATCGTGCTGCCCAAATTCTTGCAACTGGAAAAGCAGAGACGGTTTCTGACTTATTGCAAGAAATAACATCTGTTACAATCAGTGATGTTGCAAAGGTCAAATTTAAAGTTTTCAATTAGTTTTCGTTACATTCCTGTCAGTGATATATAAATGATTTGCATTGTTAGTTGCACCTTTTAGTTTGAGCAAATAAATTTTTTTTGCACCATGTTCGTCTTATTTTGTCTTTATCTACAGGCGGCAGATCAGATGAGATCAAAGTTATCGCTTGCTTCACATGGGAATATCTATCAGGTGCCTTACCTTGATCAGCTGTAAAAAGGGGCCGTTAATTCTGTGAAATAATAATGTAAAGAAAATATGACTCATCATTTATACTTTCAGAAAACTTGAAACAGTAAATAACAGGTTGTAATTTAGATATTTTGCAGTATTTTTGTCTATTTCAATTTGTAGGTTACTATAGTGAGTCTAAAATGTATTCTTCGTCAACACATTTCTTTGTGATAACTTTCATGCGTATTTGTTATGCCGTGCAGTTCCGTCACGGCAAAAATTTGTTTGAATGTACGCCGTTTCATTAGACTAATTGTTTTTAAAATTTCTGAAATTAATGTGTGAAATTATATATTGGTCCCGGGTCCTTCAGTGTAGTTTAAAAGAGAACTGAATGTGATAAATATGCTTTTATATTCTTTGTACTGCAAAGTACTTTATTCATTACTAGAAATATGCTTTAGCAGACATATTCATTAAGACTTCTGCACTTCTTTCATTTTTAAAAAACAATATAACACTTAGATACATCTTATATAACTGATAAAGACGAGAACTATGGAGTACTGATCTCTGTGATGACGAGTGGTAAAGTTTTTGAGATGAGAAAGCTAGTCTGCACTACTTTTGTCTCACTCTGGATTGGTAATACTGTTGGACAAAATTCTAGAATATGAAACGAAATGATGTGAATGAAGAATTATGAAGAATGGTAACATATGTAAAAGCACAGATGAAATATAGCATCTTAAGAGTTCGTAATAGAGGAGAAAATTAATTTAGTACCTGCTCAGCTGCAGCGTCTAGGTTAAGAGTTTGCAGACAATCAATGAACAGATGCTCTGTTCTCCGAAATGAGAGCAGTTAATGCAGTTCATTGATAGTGAAGAAGAAGGATGACGAGGCTGTTTGATTCCAAAGTGTTTCTTTTCTTTTTATTAACTGCAATTTTTGCTTGGCGAGGATCAGAAGAACGTTATTTGGTATGAAGTACAAAACTATCAAATTACTGTAATTTAATCTCTTCTGTATGGCCATGCACTTAACAAGCTAATTTTTTGAACAGCACTCATTACCCTAATTGTAAAGCATTTCAAATTTTTTGGCATTTAAAGTTATTACGATTGACAACAAAAGTTTACTCACTAAAATTAGCCATTAATATTAGATTTATTATCCATTTGTCCTTTTTTTAATCAAAAAAGTATTCAAAATCAAAAGTTGTTTCCATCTTGCATAAGGATTAATTTTCAGCCAACTTGGGATTCAATTGATTCAAGACCAATACCAACTTGGTACAGAAATGCGAAATTGGGCATATTTTGTCATTGGGGACTTTATTCAGTGCCAGCATTCCAGTATGTTACTAAGATAGAAGCATGTTGAATTTTTATCTTAAGAAGCATTCATTTACTGCGCTTAAAATGCTTTCAGCTCTGAATGGATGTGGTATAAATGGAAAGTATCTAATAACTCGGATATTATTGAATACATGAAGCGGAATTATAAACCTGGATTTACTTACGCTGATTTCGCAAAAGATGTACTGTTTTTTATTTTTTATATCTCATTAATTTGATTAAATTTACTAAGATATTTCTCAAATGAAAGATTTGCAACATTTAATTATGAGTTGCATTTCTTTGTGATTTTAAATTAAACTTTATAATTTGATTCCCAAAAAATCATATTTTAGTTTACTGCTCAGCACTTTAACGCTTCCATCTTTCGAGAAATAGCTGAATCATCTGGTGCAAGGTAATTTTTTATTATTTTTGATGATATATTTTTTTGCTGTTAAAATTAGTTCTGTTGCAGATACTTTGTATTCACTAGTAAACATCACGAAGGATTTACTATGTGGCCGAGTATTACTTCTAGAAGTTGGAATTCAGTTGATGTTGGCCCCCACCGAGATATTGTTGGTATGAAAACAATAGGCCATACTTTTCTTCTTTGTTATGTTCATAAATTTTAATATTGTTCATTTCCTTCACTCTGAAGAAAATGGACTACATTGAAATAGTTTACTGTAAACAAATTTTTTCTCTTGTGGAAAACTAAATGAGATGTTTCCATTAAGCTTAAACTATTAAGTTTCCATTTCTTACAATTTAAAATTACTAGAGTACATCGTCATTATTCTTTTTTTTAATCTGATTTCTTTAAACAATAAAATTTAGTTATTAATAGTATAGCTTGATTTCAGGTGATTTAAAAAATATTTTTCGAGGATCTTCGATTCATTTTGGCCTTTATTTTTCGCAGTATGAATGGTTCAATCCCTATTACATGGAAGATCGTAAATACAAAACCAGCAATTACGTAAAGGTTTGTGTTCTCTGTTTCCTACTATATTTAAAGTAAATACAATTACAGTATGTATCATATCCACAAATGCTCGAGTTGGTAAAAAATTATGAGCCTGAAATAGTTTGGAGTGATGGTGATTGGGAAATGAGTGATCAGTACTGGAAATCAAAACAGTTTATTGCTTGGCTCTACAATTCAAGGTTCATATTCATCTTTATAAATCATTCATAACTTATAATTGTTTTACGACAGCGCTAAAAAAGTATGGAAATCATTTCAGTTTTTATTATTAAAACAAGCTACAATTCTAAATTTACAGAAAGATTACACGTCTGTAACAGTCCTATGTTAACAAATATTATCAATTACAAGGTTCAAATTTTAGTCCAGTAAATAGTACAGTTGTCGTAAATGATCGTTGGGGAAGTGGCATCTCGGGAAAACATGGTGGTTTTCTAACGTACTCAGATCATTTTGATCCAGGTTATTTTTCTGCAATGCAAGATTTTGGATAGTTTGACAGAAACGCTTCAAATCTTTGTAGGCTATTTGTTGGAACGGAAATGGGAAAACTGCCTTCCACTTGATAAGAAGTCATGGGGATATCGTAGGAATATGAGAGTAAGTTCTTAAAATATTTTGAAATATCTCAGTTGTAAGCATCTCATCAAATTTATGCTCGGCAAAATTCTTGAATTATTAGTCCAATTTATTTTAAATAAATACTTCAAAAAATGGAGCTGCATTGGAAAGGAAAAGAAATAAATTGAAGTAAAGAATCTGAGTGTGTTTGGTTGTTTCTTATTTCTGGAAGTTCTTAATATATTTGCTGCCAAAAAAAATGTTAAAAAGTTTAGAGTGATGACGTAAATACAGTAAATTATCTCATCAGTCAGCTGGTTAGAACCATATCTTGCAACGGAAACATGCTGTTGAACATTGGTCCAGATGAATCTGGAATGATACCAGCCATTTTTGAAGATCGACTTCATCAGTTTGGTCAATGGGTCAAACGTAACCAAGAAGCAATTTATGATACTTATCCTTGGATGTATCAGAATGATTCTCTTGACATTTGGTGAGTATACTTTCCAATTTATAGAAATGTTAATCATTCTGCTAAACATTTATATCCATTTGCTTTCGACTAAGTCACTTTTTAATGATCCGAAAGAATTCATCTTTCCAGTCACTAAAAAATTTTTCATCTAAAGCATGATCAGATTTCTTTAACCTGCTTTAACTTATTTTTATAATACTGCATGCTCAAATTGCAATGTACCCATATATCTATAAGTTCATATTGAACTGCTTTTTCTAGGTACACCATTAGTTCGCCGAGCGGAGGGATGGTAAAACCTGACACAGCTTGGATATCACATTCGAAGCAGTCCAAACTTTATGCTTTTTTCCTTAAGTTTCCAGTTACAAACACTATTACATTGTCTTCTGTACACTATACACCAAAAGTTAGTAAATTATATCGTCAATCGAAAGAAAGTGTTTCTTTGATCGTTTATAAGTAGCAGCAATTTCTATAAAAGCATTGTGTAAATAAGTCCAAAAGACCTGTTTACAAAATTTTTAGACAAAATAATTTTTCAGTTTATAAACAAATGATATTTGAGTTGACAGCTGAGGTACTGCTTGATGCCGGCGAAACCGAATTACTTGAAGTAAACGGAATTTCTGGCAATCCAGTGACTCTTAATTTCACAAACCATCAAAAGCTGATTGCGTTGAATCCAATTGTCATACGAATCAGCAATTTCGATGCTACTTATGTAAGTTTGTTTTAGAAGTAATTTAGAACGAGTCTTGATTTTATATTCTTAATCCCTCTCAAATCAAAAGTGCGAAAATAAAGTTTTCGCATTTTTTTAATATCAACTGTTAACTTCGATATCTGCTAAATTTACAGACTGATCCACTGCAAAAGCGCAGGAAAGTCAAATCTTAGGAAAGATCGAAGTTCGTTTCAAATTAGATCGAAACTGAATTTATTCAAGAACATGAAAAAAAAAGAAAATATTTTTTTGGATCACAATTTACGATGAGTGGAAAATCGAACTGTTTAGTGACAACATAAAAAGCTCAATCAAGCTTCTTTTGTTTATTGTCGTTGCCAAATTTATGCATTTCAAATATATTTCCTTAGTGCTAAAATATTCAGTAGTCTTTATTATTTATTTATCAATGGTTGATCAAAAAAAGAAAAAAAAGTAATCCACGACAGTGTGTAAACAAATATTGTTCAAAGCTCCTATCACAAACAAATAATTTCTACGACAAATTTCTGATTTGCACTGGCTGTATTTCGTCAAAAAGTATTATGAAGAGTCGGTGTTGCACTTATTTAATTTCGACTGTCCATTCTGGCATTTCCGTTGTTCCGTACTGTAACAAAGCATAAATTAACAGCTTGTAGTGGAATTGAAAATCACGAAGATATCATTTTTCAAGGTAGACAATGAGAAATCAAAGTAGGAATTTCATAAAAATTAAAAAGTTGTGGCAAGCTAAGAATTGATAAGTTAGCAATAAGGACCTGTATATCAACCACTGTTTTATAAATTTTTTCCATTAAATTAGGTTTGTGGATTATTGTTGGTATTATCAGTTCTTCGAAATTTCCTGTTATCGAATTTTTATATGTAATGTGACCTATCGGAGAGACCACACAAGCTGTACCAGTACCAAACATTTCATACATCTGCAAGATTTTGTTTAATTCTTGAAATATTCTCAATGAAGTTTAAGGTCGATTGTGCTTTACAATTTAAAGGCTAACTCTGTTTTCTTTGATTGATCGTTTAATCTCTGCCATCGAAACGTATCGTTCAGAAACTTTAATACGATTCATTTGTTTTACCATATGTAAAACACTGTCTCTTGTAATACCTGGTAATATTATTCCATCACACAAAGGAGCTGTCACTAGTTCATCTTCTAAAAATAAATGTCTCCAATATCATAAGTTCACAGTTAAGATTGAAGCATTCGAAGTCATTCAAGCAGTCTGAGGTGTACAGATTTGAATTTCATCTCGATGAAGTTTGAAATTAACCTCCTTCATCATTCTTCCAGTATACAAAAATGTTCATTGATCCAACTTCTGTAATCCATTCCTCGGGGCCGTACAACCACAAAACTTGTTGACAATTTTTGGAAGATGCTATCTTACTAACCAGTAATGTTGGCGCATAATTACTAAAAAATATGAAAAAAGCCCTTTAAATATATAATGCAGGTTGAAAAAAAAACTGTGTAGAATATGTAATCTTGCTAGTTTTTTATCAAAGATATTATGGCATTGTAGCTTGTAAACTGTGTGTCGGGAAAATCTCACCAGCCCATTTTATACTGTCCAACACCACCAGGGAACGCTCGACAGTAACTGGAGTCAGCATAGAGTGAAATAGGCTTAAAATCAGTATTATAGTACTGCCCAACAGGACCAGTCAAAACAAAAAGTAGAGCTTGCGTGGGATAATCTATTCCAAGACTAGGCTGAAATCATATTGCATAGTTAATTAAATTTTTGTTCAGTTACGAACTGCACCGAAATGGTAATTTTTCCTGTATGGATGCAAAGTTTTTGTTAAACTAATATTTATGCAATTCAAAATTAACATCAGTAGCAATGAGCGTTGGACGTATGTAAAGCGAATTTGGTGGCGAAGGAACCCAATCTGCATCAATCTTTACTAATTCACAAATAAGTTTCTTTAATTCATTCGTGTCGAATGTCTGTAAATACTCTTATTTCAGAGATGTTATTCAAAGAAAATTTAAGCATTCTTTTTTATTACTGAATAATTAAACTTTTACTTTTTTTATTAAATCATAATTGCATTTAGTTATTCGATTGAAGATACAAAAATTTTGTGATTTCCTTTGGGATATGGCCTTATCTATCTTCTCATGCCAAAAACTAAGCAGTAAGGGGATTTGAAATCAATTTTGCAAGTAAAGTTAAAGTCTTCGACGAACTTTTGTTAATCTGTACATAAATTATATATATATATATATATAACAAAAATTTGTCTACGAATATTATTAAAAACTCGCGTTTTATATTGCTTCTCAAATTTTGTCAAAGAGTGAAAGTATGCATAATAAATAACACTATGAGCGAAACTACAAAACTAACTAAGAAACAAGTTGCAAGGTACTAATGGTACTAACTGGAAGAGCAGATCTAATCGCACTTTGATACATACGTTCCATATTTTTTTCCGGTCGAAACAAATAAATTTTGTTACTTTCGTTTCGATATGCTTTCATTCCTTCGAACAATTCAACAGCGTAATGAAATACCTAGTTTTTATTTGATAATATTTAAGTGAGTATTTGGTAGTTTTTCATGTTATCACTTTCACTGATGCAAATGTTCTTCAGTGCAAAATTAATAATACTGTAATTGTGAAAAAAATAGTTAACCTTGGAAGCAGGATGCAGAGACAAATCATGAATTGGAGATATCAAAGGCCTAGACCAACCTTTCTCGTTTGACCATGTTATCTTCAAGAATTCATATAATTTTTATCATTTTGAATTACAAGAAATGCATGATAAAATAAATCACTAAGTATAGATTAAAAAGTTTACGAAAATAGACCTTATAAATGAACCTCAAGCATGTGGTCGGAAAAAGTATGACCAAATCGTAATTTGCTTTTGGGATCAGGTTTCAAACGCATTTGATCCGCTTTTATTTTAACTATTTCCAAATCTTTGTGCTGAAAACAACTCACATTATTATCACTATTTGATATTGTCCATGAAATTTGAATAGTTAAATTTTAAATTTTCCATTAGTATCAAACATCCCATGAAAGAAGCGATTGTAGATCCTGATGTAACTGAACAAAAGCAACACTTTAGTGATTTGAAAGTTGGAAATAGACGTTTGCTCCGTCGAAGTCGTAATCCTTTCGATGCATCGAAAGCGAGAATATCTGTTAATTGATTCATGTTTAATAATTAGACTTCTAGCAGTTACTGAAAATAAATATTGAAAGCATTTTTTAGTAACGGAACTTATTTAAAATTTAAATACATAGCATTAAAAAGCGTGAAATAAATGCAAAGAAAGAATAAGACGAAAACTTGTTGAATATTGGCTAACAAAGGAGTGCAAATCTTGCTCATGGAATTATACAATTCTATAAGTATAAAGCGTAACTAGATGCGTATATATGAATGAATCTAAAAATCAGATAAAATTAACTATACACTTAATAAAAAAGTAAAAGTATTATTGACAGCAAAGAAAATATTGATAAGATAAAGAATGAGGAATTGAAACTTAAATATTTTGCCTTTTTTCAAATTGAATTTGAAAATAATTATATCTAGGTGAAGATAGAATACAATTAATCACAATAAGTGCAAAAGAAATAATTGAGTTTAAATTACAAAAACAATAAGCAGTTAAATCGTGTTACCTTATTTAAAAACGATATCAAGGAGAATAGCCAATGCTTTCTAAAAGTATTAAAAACTTTGGAGTAATCAATCTTTGAACGAGGGCCACATTTCATATAAAAATAATTACTCTCCAGTAAGATTCCAGCAATAATCCAGTCTTAGTTGACATTCACTGAATTTTATCTGTTAATGAAAAATTTTCTGCCATACTCAAATTAATTTTACTTCAAAGCAGTAATTGCTTTAGAGCTTTTTAGAATAAGCAATTTGAAAATTGATATTCTTCATTGCACTTGTGAACTGCGAACTGCATATGATTACTAAAACCAGTTGACTAGATTGTCATTTCAGTCTAACAATTGGAGATTGAATTTCCTTGCAATCATTTTCCTTTTTTAATCTTTCCTTTATTTTAAAAAATTTGCAGATTAAGAATAAAATGACTTGACATGGGACATCGTAATAAACAATTCTAAACAATACGCATTATGCTAAATCCTGGCTGTGCTGACAGTAATTAAACAATTCTTATGTAACATCTCATTCGTTTATCAGTACAGTAAAGTGCTGAAAACATAAAAGTGATAAAATCTTTAATCGACTGCAACTCGAATGATTTTAATGAATGGAAAGCATTTTTCTGCACTTTTTTTCTATCTAAAATTTAAGTGATATTTTGAATAAAATATTACAGAATTGAACAAGAAAAACGAAACTTTCATACAAATTCGAAATTTATATTTTACATGAAATGAATGAAAGTATTTATTTGATTACATATTTAGACTGTCAATTATTACAAGTTAATGTAATATATATTTTCATTCAAACAAGAAATGTGATAATGTGATGACAATAGTTGATTTGAAGCTGAGATTTTTGAAAACTACGAAAATGACTAGCAATTAAAATATCAACTAAGAATTTCTTTTTTTTGTTTTTGCAAGTAAAAACGTTCAGAAAAATGAAATCAATAAATAATCGGATAGTATAAGCACAATACCAATTAAAGTTTGAGTATAGAAAAGAAAGTGAGTGTAATTTTGTCGCAGCACTGGTAACAAATCGACTCATCCCTCGATTTATTTAAAAAGGACATAGTTTGTTTGCTTAAGATGAGAGAGATACTGTAAATTTGACTGATAAGAATTTTCGATCGTTTCACTGATCAAAGAGCACTAAAAAATTATGGTATTTGAAATTGTCTGACATTGAAGGGATGAATTTATGCGATGCAATTTCGCACGAGATTATAGCAAAATATGTCGTCGACATTAAGTAAAGCTTCCAAAAACATGTACTACATCAGAAACTCTGAAACTGCTAATTGCAACCATCATAACTGCATAAAATCAGAAATCAGTCGTACTTTGAACGACTGATGATATGTCACGTTTTTGTCTGAATATTGATACTAATGTTAGATATCAACGTCATCACGGATAGCCGAATGCGATGAAATACACTACAGAAATGATTCTATGAACTATGGAATGTGGTCATTTTTCTTTGCTTGACTGCATTCTTATTTATGTCTACCTGCAAAAACAAATGCTGGCTTTTGTTACAAAAGCCATACTTTACTCTAATCTCGACGAATTCAGTTCTTCATCCATTCGGATGATTCAATGGAAGCAAAAAGTATCACCAATTCTGGACTAGAATTCACCATAACGATGTACATTCCAACCAAATACACCAAGAATAGTAACTCAGGAGTGAGATGCTTATGTAATTATAAAAATTGGTGGCTTTGGAGAGACGAAAAATTGTACTCGTAATCTGACAATACATACGACTCTATTTTTATTCATATAAACTAGCTCTCGAGAGTGAAATTTATAAGGCCCTGCACATCACACACCCTAATGCTCTGTCCTGAAAAATTTGGATCTAAAACTACTCCTAACTTAATACTATGCTTTTCCTCAGAAAGAAAATTTTTCTGCTCACAATTCTTTTCTGCAGTGAAATATAATAATCTCCATCAAATACTACGGCAACAAGCTATAGGGCCACCAATTATGTAATAATTTTCTCACTATTACTTTGACCATATGCGGGGCTGCTTTAGGATAACTTAGAACAGTAATCACTTTAGCATAAAACACTTTAACCATGAGAACCATATAAACTGGAAAGATGCAGAACTTTTACAAATTTCAGCTTTTCTGCCAATGTATTTTTGAGGTATCTGCAAAATCAACGGATATTCATTTGAAGCAGATATAATGCTATTCTGTACAAAAAAAATCAGACGAGGACAGCACTAGAGGCACGTAATGTTGAAATATAATATGACAGAGATTCAAGCGAAAGAATTATAGAGCATACAGATCACAGATGATCAACACGACAAATGATGCAATTACAAGATAACAGACTGAGTTCAGTGACTGACAACATAATTCATTATACGGTATCGAAAAAAATATTCTAATGTGACATTTTACATCGTTTTGCGCACTTGTGGAAATACTACTTAATAATAAAAACATTTTCTAATACAACATTTTCCAGTAAATATTTCTTGTTCTCTTCAATCAATTTGGTTTTGCTAAACAAAAGTAAACAGAAGACTTCGTGTTCACTTACACATATTTTTGATAACTGAACTTAGTAGAAAAAAATTGAAACAAACGTTGAGATAAAAACTTTACACTTTTACCCATTTACGAAGATAATTTAGAACTTAAAGTAGTAAAAACCATAACATGCTGCGACGAAGCAGTTCACAACATTATTATGAAAATCACTGTCATTGAGGTCAATAAATTGGATGAAATGATGGATTTGTACGTACAACTACTCTCCCTTCCTACAAGGTTAAACTAAAACCCTATCCTCATATCACAAAAGAAAGAAAAAGTTGGAAACTGCCATAATGTCAGTGACCAGCTTGATCAAAAGTTGATAATAATCTTCAAAAGTAAAAAACGAAACTGTAAGAATCGACATATATTGCTACATTATTTTAAAACTTAGAACTAAGAATGTGAGTCATATAATCTTCAATTTGATGAATGTTATCCTGCATCAGTCTAAATTCATGTGAAAATTTGTTCTTACAATCTTCGTAAGCCATGTCATCATCTATCAAATAAATGTCTCCAGTCAGATTTGTGGAATTACGAATCAATTGCTCTTCCGTTTGGATTGATACGGAGACCCTATAATACGCATTTTCCTTTCCAAATCATTACTTCATTGACGATGATAGAGCCAAAATGAAAATCCAAAGAAAATTGTATACATAAAAGTTAAGTTCCAAATCAGAATGTCTTACGTTTGATTTTCCTCTGTTGATACTGCTACCTCTTTATATTTATTCATCTTCAGAAACATTTCATTGAAAAATTTTGAATTGATTTTAATCAGTTTCTTTTTCCAATCTTCGGATTTTTCAGAGACCAAAGATTTCTAAATTCTTCAGTCAAAATCAGCAAAATAATACTGAATCAAACATTTTTTAATAGATTCTATTAAGAAACTTCAATGACTTTAACTCTTGAAGCAACTCAGTCTTTGTTATCTGATATTATAAATTTTTGGTTTTAAAAAAGTATAAAAAGAATGATCAAATGAAAGGTGACTAAAAGTCAACAAACCTTGAATGCATTTTCTTTATATGGTTTTACAGACTGCTTCTGAAGATCAATGCAACTCAATTTCGAAGTAAATTCCTTTGAAATTAAACAATCCACTGAACATGGCTACAAATGAATAGAAATTATAAACGGTATTAAGTGATTTTCTTCCAAGTGTTCTGAAAAAATAACAAACAATCTTCAATACTTGCATAAAAGACAACATTAAAAATACTACTTGTTCACTGTTGAAGAACTATATAGCTCTATTCACTTATAAATTTGTTACAAAAGATAATAGAATCATATTGAAATTGTAGAAAAATCTTTGCCGAAGGTATTATCTCCATTATATCTTCAAACCTTCGGCAAAGATTTTTCTACAATTTCAATATGATTCTATTATCTTTTGTAACAAATTTATAAGTGAATAGAGCTATATAGTTCTTCAACAGTGAACAAGTAGTATTTTTTCGAGACCAGTGATTCGTATATTTACTGGGACTTATTCTATTCTAGCGCAATCATGAATCAATAATTATTCGAATGTACCTTAGATCAACTGAAAATCAAAACCACGTAACAATTCCCAAAAGCTCATTCAGTTGCAATCCTAACAACTTGATTCATTAAATAACAATAATTAAACATTATATTGTATGCCAAGCACTAAAGTTATGCTACGACTTACTTCAACACAATTGGATTTGGAAAACAGTTCCTGTTTTGAAAGTGAAGGAAAACGAATTTTTGCATAAAATGACCAGTCTTCTGCAGATAAAATATTTTGGACGGCAAGAATTTGTTTCCTCAAGTATCTTCTTTTATTGTGACTTCTATTTTTGATCCCAGCCGCCGTTAATTCCGTTTCTCTATCCTTTATAACTATGGTATCTAGCATTTTCAAATTTATATCCCTTGCTTCATCATAAGTATGTGACGATACTATCTAAAGATTTTAAATAACGATTATGACCAATATAAGTATATGGCTTATACAATCAAACGACTCTCGAAATTATCAAAATCTTGCTAACCCACCAATCCCTTTCTCTATCCTTTATAACTTTGGTATCTAGCATTATCAACCATGTTACTGTATCACTTTTTTATCTTTAGCAAAATGTATATATTACCTTATTGGTTCATCGATTTAAAATATAGAGGTATCAACAATATTTCTATCGCAATTAAAATAACGAAAAAAAAGCGATAATTGTTACATTAAAGTTTACGAACAGTTAGATGATGCACCTTCAGAGCAGCTAGTTTTTCCAGAAGCACGTTAGAAATTTCCGCCGTCTTTATGCTCGCAAAAATTTTTAAAAGATCAGAATTCGAGTAGGTTGCCTTATTAAATTTCGGATTGGAATTAATGACATTGTTGATACACTTAGAAGTCGCTTCATTTCCTAGTAAATGATTTGAGTTATTAAAAACAACTGAGGAAGAGCTTTCATTTTTGATTTCACCGTCATAATCTTGGAGAATATGCAAATTCTGCATCGCATAAGGCTGAAAAATATGAAATTATGAGTACCACATCTGGTATGATAAAACCGTAGTTAACATGAAATCAGATGAGAAATCAAATCTCGGAAAATCCTCCTCCTAATAAGTTTATTAGAAAATAATTCATTTTATTATAGAGCTTTACATTCTTATGCCAAATGTGTTTTATGACAATTATATTTTTCATGCACTGTGAGGGAGAAAAATATATACAAAGATGAGAATTACGCAAAAATCTTGAGAGCGATCGAAAAACTCTTCGTTGTAGATAAGATCATTGGGCCAGCGATTGCTTAAATCAAGCACTTTAAGTCGAAGTTTTCCCTCAACTGCGATATCACTGAACGTTTTCAAGCTCTTTCTATCATTGATAAATGTGAATGAAGCTCCATGAGTACCTAAATGACCCATTCATGTTAGATGATTACTCGTAAAAAGAAGAATAGAAAACATATAACTTGTAATTATATCTTTCAAAAAGATATTCTCAGGTACCAAAACGTCCCGAACGCCCAATCCGATGCAAGTAGGTAGATAAAGAAAACGGGCTGCCGTAATTGATGACAACATTAACACCTGGTACATCAATGCCTCGACCAGTCTAAAATACTGATTAGTTCAATGTCTCGAGTGGTCTAAAGTAATTACATAAATAAGAGTCTTTTATAAATAAATGAAATCCCGAAAAATTATCCTCCCAATAAGCTTATTAGAATATAATCTATCTTACTATACAGACAATATAAGTCTGTAAAACAAAAAATATTATCATTATTATTCTTTCAAACATACAAGATCTGTTGAGACAAGTATTTTGACCACAGATTTTCTGAATTGTTTCATAACGTTTGTACGATCTGTCTGTAGCATGTTACCAGAAATTTGACAAGCACCAAACTCTGCTTTCGTCAAACCCGAATAGACCTCATCACATCTAAAATAAACTCATCGCACGTAAGACTTAGACAAAGCATAAAGCCTTTGGAAAATTTCTTTAACGACAAATTTTCGAAAACATAAAAAGCCTACTTTGTTTGATCATTGACAAAAATTATACACTGACTATAGCACAGTTGAAGCAGTAAACGTATTATTGCACTAATTTTTTTGGTTTTATTGCAAACGAGAACAACATATTGTTTAACACCATATAACTGAGCATCGGTGTCCACAAGCACTGGATGTGCATCTAAACAACTGTTCTCCTAAGCGAAATTGCCAACACTTTTTCAAAAAAAGTGAAAAATTTATCAAAAACAGGAAAAAACCTAACAAGAATCAAAAAACTAAGAAATCCATATTGAAGCACATTAAAATGAAAAAAGACAAAGCTGGTAGCAATGGAGGCGAAAAATATAATTAAAATATTTTGTATCGTAATTTATAATTACATGAATATGATAGCACCGAAATCAATGACAGTCTAATTCAACTATATAAAATCATTAGAAACCTATGACCACGGTGTTTTCAACAACCCTTAATATATTTCGCATCCGTAAATAAATTTCAGTTGGCCCAAATTGCAAATGAAGCAAAAAAAAGGAAAACAAATAAACCTGTCATGTAACGCGCCAGAATTTTAAGCATATACTGTGGATACGTAGCCGAAAACACTGCTACTTGTTTATGTGGCGGAAGGGCAGAAAAAAGGTAACTGAAACTAGTCAGGATTAAGTACATGTAAAAGAAAACTTTGCGAAGCAATCTCCCTTTTTTATGTAGAACACTGATGAGTGCAAAAGGTCTTTGGATATTCAGATTAGAATGACTCTTATATTTGTTAACGTGACAGTTTCCAGTAATGCCGAAACATGATGGAAGTTTGGCATTCATACTTTAAGCAGTAAAAAAATAAGCTCTAGGATGCTATGATGCTAACAACTCACTTAATTTCTTCCTGAAAATTTGATTCCATAAGTTTGTCGGCTTCATCCACAACAAAGAGCCGTATATGAGATAGGTTCAAAGCATTGATGCGAACAAGATGACAGAGACGACCTGTTGTTCCAACAACAATATGAACGCTTTTTTTAAGAACTTGAATATCACCGGCAACGCCCTTTTCATTCCCGCCAACAAACATACTTGAATTATTTTATTACAGGATACAAAGCGTTAATAAATCAAACACAAATGTGTTCCATCAACATTCGAATCCCGGCATAAAAAGAAGAAAAATGTAATCAAACTGTATTCGTTTTTAATAATTTCAATCGTAATAAGTTTTCTAGAGCATACGTACCGCACGTGAATGACTGGAGGAGCAAGCATACTGATATAGGATACTATTTGAGAAACAATTTCACGAGTTGGAGCGACGATCAACACTTGGGGACGTCCAAATTGTGCATTCAAGTTTTCAAGAGCAAGCAATGAAAACACCATTGTTTTTCCAGTTCCAGATTTTGCTTGAACTAGCAGATCTAAAACATAATAGTTTTTACTTATTCCATAAAGAGAAAAAACTGTAAAGTTTTTTTGACAAAAAATCTTATTAATGATTTGTAACAAATACACGTTAAAGTTGAATACGTTGAGAAAGATTACCAAGGCCAAGTAAGCCACATGGGATCGCTTGTGCTTGTACTGGAGACGGTTTCGTAAAACCAGCTTTTGCTAATGCAGTCAACGATGTTCGACTAAGCATAAGTGAATTAAAATCAGGCACATCCGTTTCAACATCAATGGTTCGTTTCGTTTTACGCATACGCAATATTGGAAATAAATTATCACCCATCTGGAAATGCAATTAGTTGTCTAACTTTTTAAAGAAAAATGCTTATTTCTAATGAGTGAGTGTTTCTTCTTATATTTGCTAAATACTACAAACAATTGTTCAACTATACTCCTAGCTTCCTAACATGAAGTATAACCACCTTGTCCTCATTACTAACGTGCTCTCAATATGTTCAGTTTCTATTTTTCGCTTTTTTCAAAACTTTATTTCATTATTACATCACAAACTTCCTGGCTTATTTTTTATTTTTCAACTTTATGCTTCCATAAAACTTTAACTCCCTCATTCTTTTCTTACATACTTGTTATGAAACAGTAATGCAATAAAGTCTGATCATTACAACAAATCCCGACCACATATTACAGCAATACATTCAAACACATGCTTCAGATTAACATGAAGATTGAAAAAGATAGATAAAAGTTATTGTGGAAGGCTATGAAAATTCATATCCCATGCTGACAAAATGCAATTAATTTAAGTGTGTGCAATTAATTTTAACCATTTAAACTATAGTGAGTAACTTCATGAAATATTCCGTTTGTCCTGAGGACTTTTATCATATTACTTAATTATTCTTCTTATAAAAGGTTCTTTTTTTTTTTCAAAAAAAACATGATGAAAATTTTGAACAAATGTAAGATGGGTCACAATTAATACATAAGACTTGATTAAAACTGTATCGTAACGTCGTTATTGAAAATGAGCAAGACAAATCTTGTGATGTGTTTTGAGAACTTTTTTAACTTCATAAATCTTACGTTGTTGCCAAACTTCATTCAAGAACATTCGCAACGTAAGTTTTGCTTACAAATATGTTTTACTATTCACTGAATTGTTTTGACAACAGTGAATTCACTTGATGTTGATGATTTTATTTGCTTTTCGCTCATTTCATGGATAGTAGCCAAGCACATGGCAGACTATGAATTGTCATTTTTTGTTGCATTTTATTGCTAGTTGTCAGTGCAGTTTCTTATCAGTGTTTCAATAAAGTTTAATAAAATAATGCTTTTGACTGCTTTTATAAACTACAAACAGAGAAGATAGAAACAGAAAAGAAGAAGTGCTAGAAAAAAATTCAAAACCCAAGGCAAAAAGTAAAGGATTTACTTGGAGCTTATAGAGCTCCAAGTTCAAGCAAGTATGCTCCAAGTAATTTAGTTCCTTGCATATAGTTTGTCAGATTCATTTTTTCATTTTGTGAATGTGCCATATCATCTGATGCACCAATAGGTAAAAGAAGTACGCTACCTCCAGTCAATTCTTGAAATGTTAGAGTAATTGGTATACTACCACCTTCACGAATATAATCTGGTTCTACTCCATACACTAGAAATTCCACAAATATCAGATGATTATGAATAATGCAAAAATGGATTTAATAATTTAATGAAGGAAGCAACTACCTTTTTTTATAGCTCTCGCTCCACATTGATAATGAAGATCTTTAAAATCAGACAACCAATAGACACCCGAATGAAGTGGCTTCACTCTAAAATTATAAAGTCACTCTCCAGTACAAAACAGTCATAGTTCAATAGAAAATCACAGGAAAATAATTACTCAAAGTGATTCGGAGATCCCCTGGTTTTCCATAAAACATTCAAGTAATCTACGACAAGTCGGTCCACCTTTGCTGGCTCCATATTTGGTACAAGTCGAATGCTGAACTTTCCAATAACCTTTGCTGGGATAACTGTTTTTGCACCTTCACCACTAAATGCTCCTTCAATTCCTATAATGACTATGACATTCTCAACTTCGCTGTGCACAAACAAATATGTGCAATAAAAAATATGCGCTTGAAGTGAATGAAATATGAAGCGCATATAGTTATCACTCGAATTGGTATTTGTAGACATCAAAAATATGAAATTTGATTGATAAAGCTGCAAACATAGTTTATATAAAAAAGTGTGTACCGTGCAATGAAAGAGATGGATTTCTCCAGCGGTTCATTAAGATTTCTTCTTTTGAATCACTAACTAATTTGAAGGCGCCAATGTCAGTACGGTACTCTTCCTAAAAGTATATCAGTTAACTGTATAACACAAATCACAAATCTAGTTACAAATAGTACTTACCATATTGAAGTCAAGAGTTTTGTACAATGCTTCTTCTTCTTTGGTTACTGGAGCCACTAAATCCTTGATACCTTTTATTTTAATATTTCCATTTAAATCAGTTAATTGACTCATGATCCAAACTACATCTGACATTGGTTCATACCTGAATTAACACTAATTTTACTTTCTTATGCTTTCTATCATCAAGCGATTGCTAAAAAAAAAATTTCTAACAATACTTGCAATAAATATATTTATGTTATTTAGAAGAAAGTTCATACACAATTAACTAAATTTGAAATGAATATAAAATCCCAAGTTGCTTAGTTATGTTGAAAGCACTGAACATGCTTTTGAGGGAATTATAATTCATGACCAACTATATATTTTATCATGCAGATAGAACAAGTATTGACGCAAGACAAAACAAATTTGAAGACAGATGATTACTTTATACATTATAATCTAATAACTGATTTCTGCTAGACTCATTCATGAACTGATAAATTTCAAAAGAAATCTTTAAGAACGTATATTATTTGAATTTAAATTATTAGTTAAATTAATAAACATACATGGAACCACCGAATACACCACTATGTAGATCCTGGTTGCAACCACTTATTTCAATGAAATAATAACATAACCCTCTAAAACATAGCTGAGTTTAACTATAACTTAATTAAGCAATATTTAATTATACAATTTATGACAACATAAAACGTATTAATTTGAAAAGTTAAAAAATAATTATAGTAAATATTAGCATTTTAATGAGCACTGCTATTTAAGACAAGTTAAAACAAACACAAACTATATAAAGATCAATCTGTTGTAATGCTTTTAAGACAATATAAAATTCAGTAACCTCAAGCCATATGAAATACAGGGTTTAGTTTTCCCTAGCCAATAACTATCAGATATGCAGGTGAAACTGATATCATTAAGGAAGTCATCTTTTTTTTTATTCAGCACTTCTTCCAATCCTATTGAGCCACTTTCTTCCATTGCTTCGAAACAAAACTTAAAATGAATTATTAGTTATAAAACCATTATCTTTTTTTTAATGAATACATTAGTAAATTAAAAAGGATGCCCATATACAGCACAAATTCTTTGGCAAATATTATACCGTTATTCTGCAAATGCAAGGTAAGAACCCTTCTAAGTAAAACAAACAAAAATATACGCATTATTCGTAATAACTTTTCTTTTCGACTGCACTAATTATGTTAGAATCTGTCTCTATCGCCTAGAATAGATAATTTCAGATGCTTATATATATAGTAAAACAATATTTACTTTTATATTCACTGGTAGCGGAATTCCAGCTTTAAGCAACACTTCTAATGCATTTATCCAACCAATTACAGGTCCTTTGTCATCAGTGGAGCCACGTCCAAACAATTTCCCATCCTGAAGAATAAATTTTTAATAAGCTATTTTTGAGATTATTAGCATCATTTGTAAAAATCAAGTTTTGGTGCAGAATTACAAAATTTTTAACGAAGTTGAAAAAAAGATCTTAATATCGACATGTGTAAATAAATAAACATTGCAACTTTTTCTGTTAAGATAAACGGATCTGTATTCCAGCCATCTGATTTTTTAGCAGGTTGCACATCCAAATGGCCATAAATGAGAAGAGTTTTCTTGGATTTATCATCACCAAGAGTTCCAAAAAGAATTGGTGGCAGTTTGATTTTAGAACCATCCGATAATGTTTGCTCTCCTGCATCATGTAATTCTACTTTTGTACCCAGTTTTTCCAAATGCTAAAAATTAGTCAAGTAAAGAAATAAAAATGAAAATAAAGCATATCATCAATTTATCACAAGGAGAGTAAAACATATGTTGGATTTCTAATCAGCATTAATATTTGGATAATATTTTAATGTTACTACTATCAACATTTTTTATTATTTTATGAGTAATTAATTATTTTGCTTAGGCATAGTAATTTGTGAAAAACTTTTTGTCGATAAAATAGTTTGTAGCAAATAAATTGAAAAAAATATTTGTCACATTCTTGTACTTAAAATTAATTGATAAATCGTGCTACAAGGTAGATGTTAGATATGAAGCCTTAAGATTGAACCTCCTTAGTCCATTCTACCATGTGCACGACATCAGCTCGATGTTGAGGCTCTCCAGATACACTTGGAATAGCAACAGCTTGACGTAATCGTTCAACAAATTTTCTTTCATTTGCATCAACTTCACTAAAGTTTTCAAAGTGTCTAATCTAGTTGTGCAAGTATTGCTGGACTGGTTTAATTTTTCTTTCACTTTATTTTAAATAGTTTAGTTTTTTTGCACAATTTGTAATTTAAATGATGCCATATCTATCGTTCCTTTCAGAAGGTAATTAACAAAGACACAAGTCAACCATAATACATTAATGTATTTATTCAACCATTACAGGACGACCCTTTATAATCAACTCGAAATCCTACTCATTATTTTATGCATGAAAAAACATATTTACGATAGATGAACACTAATTTGTGTAAATTTAGCTTCTTTTTTCCAGATATACTGCATAAAAATGTGCACCTCTAACAAAAAAAACTTTTATAATAAGCATCAGTTTAAATGACATGTTTCTCAGTATGTTATTTTGCACTCGCTTACATTGTGTAGCCAATCTTTTATTAATGATTTTTTATACTTAAAAAACGATATGAAATGTTTGAAGGGGCAAAAATTACTTGAAAAATTTGTTATAGATGTCCATTGCACAGAATAACGAAATCACTCTGCAAACAATAAGGTGACAAATGAATAAACCAAAATTATGACAGATAGTGTTAAAATTTACTCAAATAATTACTACTTTTTAATTAAAATTCAGTTTTACAAAAAACAACTGAAATTATCAACTATCTCAAAATCAATCACTTCAAGTATTGAATGATTTTATATTTCGTTTTCTGCTCGCACATGCAAAAAAAAAAACAAATTAAATAATATAAAAAATGCTAGCAGACAACGAACGAACGATTATGCATAAAAAATAATCATCTCACAAATAACCCATAAAGTAAGAACAGCAATGTTTGAGCAAACAATTATGTTGATAAGAAAATAAATTTGTGCTTGACAGCAAATGAACATTCTGGTTCTGATAAACGAGAAAAAAAAAAAGTTCACTTTTACACTTACGTATGTTTCTCGCATTCCCCGTTCGCTTCTGACAATTAAATATTAAGCATTTCTACCGCAACAATATAATACAAAAAATGAAACTTCATCAAGTTCGCTACATCATTTTCACGTTTTTATTACTTACTTCTGATAATTAATTCTCAAATATCTACTTGTGTTATGGAAGTTAAACCTAACTAACTTCTTTGCTCTTCCATCAGTTTACTTGAATAAGTCATACGTTTTTGTTAAAAAATTAATCATTTTTCCCAATAAAAAAATTATGTTTTGTTTAGTAACGCCAAATTTATGGATGACGAAAAACACACAATAAAATCAATATGCAATCGAGAAAAAAAACAGCGCAGCAAAAAATTTACTAGCAGTCCTCAGCAATTGATTTGGAATATTCAATAAACAAAAATAGTATTAATTAGTTAGTTATAAGATGATCAGTTATTCTCTATTCGAAATTACTAATGCACCGAAGTAAGAGGACAAACCATAAGTGAACAAAATGATTGAGAAATTTACCATTGTGGACAAATATGCTAATAGCATTGAGTCAATTTACACAGCAGTCTAAGTCAATATATGTTAAACTCTTGTTGGTTACTAGTACTACCATTCAATTTCTCCGAATACATTAGTTAATGAGTATTGAATACTTGAGTTACTTTACTTTATATGATTCAAACACGATGCGATGACCAAAGTATTACTTACTGCAGTTGTGTATAGAGAAGTTACAGAGGTATAGATGAAGATATGTTTGAAATACTCAAACAAATTCAGCATGGTTGATTTCCTGTCACAACCAATTAACAATATCATTTGGTGATAGATACAGTTCATTCAGGCGTGAACAACTCCTCATCAAAAACTGACAGTATAATTTGATGGAGATCATTGTAAATTAGAGCCACAATTTTCTTAGTCGTGAGAGATGGTATCAATGCTTGGTTGCTCTTGAAATACAGTGCAAAGCGAATAACGTATTATTCCACTATGTGATTAATACAGAGTCTCCCGAACAATTCAATTTTTCTCTAATCGAAACCAACTTTAATCCATTTTACATTTATTCCCACTAACGTTTGAACACTCCCCAGATATAGCTTGCAGCAATCAACTGAATTACCATAAGCTGTGTACCAAAATAAGAAATGTCAATGAAAGGCGCTTGTGAATATAAATAAAATGCAAATGAAAGTGAGTGACCATGATGATTTTATAAACATGTCCTATTAGAATATTTCCATACACAAGGATATGCTATTATACCATCAATGAGCAGTAATTTAATAAGTCTGCGGTTTGAACTTGCAAACAAATCGCTAACATAATCTTTTATTGCATCTAAGTAAATGATACCTGATGGTAAAACATTGTGCATGTTGCAAACCATTGCTTACAAGCTCCAAATTTTGAACTGATCATAACATTAAAATTTGTGAACTATCAGCACTGAAAAGTGCGACCACTCCAACTACAATGCAGTTGTATTTATAAAAAATGAAGAGCTAACTTCCATTACAAATATCACAGTACTTAAAACCAGTGTACAAATAAATTTCAAAGAATAAAAAACATCAAAACAAGTTAACAAGTTATACCGTTCTATCAGTCAATCGATATCTGTGATACCTTGAATACAAAAACCCATCCCAAAAAAAGGCTGCAGCAATAACTGCAAATTTTTATTCATAAATGTTTGCCCTCTGCCTGTACTCTTCTAAGCTTTTCAAACGAACTGGAGAACGAAAATTATAATTAGACCAAATATATGTGAGTAGAAAACCGATGCTTCCACTAAACCAACGACATCTTCTAGACCTATGCCTGAAAATTAATTATTGCTGATAGAAATCAATAATTTTTCATGTAATGCATGCTATAAAAAGAAATAAATTACATTTTTAAAAATAAAAAATTGAACTAAGCAAAATTAAACTTTTTTTAATGTTTATGTTTTTTACAAAAATCGAAAGAAAATGCAATAAAACCACCTTGCAAATATTCGCATGGAAATCCACCACATAAAAGCATTGAAGAGAGCAGAATACAACTTCAACCTGAAAAATTAAAAGAAGGTTTACCGAAACAAAATCACACTGGTTTCCAGGTTAACATACCAAGAAAGATTTCGTTTTGCTTTGGGAATCTCCTCCAGACTATCTTTTACAACGTATCGTTTAACACCCATGAGATAATCAAAAAGATATGAGTCCCAGTTCAGCTGTCGAATATCAAAATTGAAAATCTAAAAATGATATCAGATATATCATAATATGCTTATAAAAGAATAAAATTTTGTCTTAGAAGGTGAAGTATATCACGAGATTTACTTTTTAAATAGTTAAGAAAGACTACTACTTAACTATATATATAAATGAATATTACAAGCATGAATACACAGATATTGACCTTTTTGTCTTCTTCTGAAGTTGCCTCCCATAATTGTATAAGACTTTTTGAATCAAAATTCCAACCTCTCGTAGTAAAATAGTGTAAAGTTTCAACCAGTTTCAGAACTTTATTGTAGATGCGAATAAATCTACAAAAAATGAAATGATGGTTGATCTAAGTGGCAAACTGGAATACTCCAAAAAGAATTTACCTTATTTTAGAACCCCAAAAAGAACTCAAAAGATCGATGAGATATGCAGGACCCATATGTTTCATATAAAAATTGTAATGAAATAAAAATCTGGAGGAATGAAAATGAGCTGATGGGATGCGATAACATTCGTCCAGTGGATAAGCACGGAAGAAGCATTGAATAAAATTTACAATGAAATCCCAATGCACGGGATTCAAAGCTCCTGAACAGCAATGTATCACCGGTATTGTTTCATATCTAAATAACTGCTACATAATACCTACAAGACATACACACTTTTAAATTCAAACAAAGTAAATTGTTTAAATGAAGCAAAAACTGTAAATTTTACTCAGTATAGGTTCTGTGAGCAGCAGCGACAATCATTAAATTAGACACGATATCAACCGGTACAATATCTGCTTTGGCTGAGCTATTCCCACACATATTTGTCAGCACACCCTTGCCACACTGAAAGAAATTATGTTTTCTACTCAAGCATTTTCATCTCATAAAGGCTGCTGATTGTAAATATTCTCTTCTCAAAAATAAGGCATATGAATGCTAGGCAAAAATTTCGAAATGAGGTGTTTGTTTTATATAACTATACAAATAAACATGAAATACAGAATGGTATATGAAGAAAAAAGAAAATGATAATTTAGGAAAATGACAGCAGCAAAAATTCCAGTCGGCCCATTGTAATTATCTGTCCAGCCGGGAAGTGGATCTCCCCACATAGCTCCTATTATTGATGGTCTCACAATTATAACTGGTAACCGCCTAGCATCTTCCATCAATTGTACCTATAATAAACTCAACCCTTAAGAGTTAAGCAATAATAAGTAATAACAGAAAATAACTAGTATTAATAAATGAAACATACCCAATAAAATTGAGTAATCAAAACCACAGTACAAATTAACCAATATTATACTGTTTCTTACAAAAAATGGATTAAAAATCTATTTAAAACAATTTTGCTAGTCGCAAAATTATTACAACTATAATGTAATAAAATGGCTAGAATATTTTCTATTTTCTATACACACTAATACTTACCTAATGTTTTACCAAAAATAATTACAGAACAGCCTCAAACAAATGCACCATCTTAAAAATCTTCATTACTAAGCAACGAATTTACAATAAATGTCATTTCTATTCATTGATTTCAAACACCAACATTCATTAACCCAACCAGTTCAGAAGGTCTTTCTATCTAGTTAGATTTAGGAATAATTCCAAAATATCCGGTACATTCAGCCGTAAAGTGTTGCAGTTAACGTCCTTATAAGACTAAGGAAAAGTACTTCTGTCTTCATTTAGAACAACTTTTATCTACCCTTAATCAGAGAGTAAGTTTGCAGACTTCGAAGCTAATCTATGTAGTAGACATAGCTCTTAAACGTAGATATTTGAAGTAAACAAACTTCAGCAAGAGCTTTGGTTAGGGTGTAAGTATTCGGTCGTTTACCAAGCAAATGAGGCGTAATAGCATCAATCACCACATCATCCATCCAATCAATCGCCTCAAAGAGCTTATTTGGTGGCATAGGCGGTGGATAAACTATTTCTAATATTTCCGATTTGTCGCAATTTGCATATGCTGTACTAACGTGAACCAATACCTGTAAAATAAGTATCAGAAGGTCAAGCAAAAAAGCATAAGAAACGAAAAAAAAATGTAAAAACTTACACGAAGATTTTTCATCATATGACAAAGAGCGACAAGCCGTTGTGTCCCAAGTACATTCATTTCTACTGATATTCGTAGAGCTTCATCAAATTTGACAGTTGCCGCACAGTGAAATGCTGAAAAACTAACAAAAAGTTAAAGTCCTGAAAATATGCTTTTCTAACAACTCACCGATAGAAACCTTATCACAAATTGTCTGCATATCCAGTTGATTAAGACCTAAACCTTCTTCCATAATGTCACCACCAACTGGGACCAATTTAGAGAACACTCCTGGATTTTGTCGACGTAGTCGATTGAATAATGGACCCTATAATTATGATGAAACAAGTATATGATACAAACAGAACACAAATAAATATATGTCCTTACATACTTTCGGTCCAGAGAGTTATTTTCTGGTTTTTTAATTCAGTACCATGTATACCTGGATAATTGTATCCATTCGTTGTTTTGGACCAATCCCATTCTTAGGACGAATTAAGAGATAAATATTTTTAACTGAATGGACTGAATATAATAATTTCTCGATTAGAACTTTGCCAAGAAAGCCACTTGCTCCAGTGACCAGTATACTTTGATCAGCAAACACATCCAGCACCTGACGACTTTGTCCCATCGACTACCCTGAAGAATAATCACTATTAAAAGTATTACCGAAGTACTAGTTTGGTAGCTGTCACTCGCAAAAATTACTACTAGCTAGAAGGTGATGACACAAAAAGTATCCCATTTCTCATAACAATGTAGCATAGAATTTGTTACAAATGTATAAAATTTAGCAAAGTGTCTAAATATCTCCGATGCCAACGGAACACTGACTTTAGAAAACTAATGAATCTTAAATAAAACACTCACAAAGAACATTAATAATAGTAATTACTATTACATATGCTTCTAGACCAATGAAAGCATATGACAACAATAGAATGCTTCTACATGCATAAACTACATTTATTAACAAAAGCTTCATCACTTAATGCTTTCGCGAACTTGAAACCACACCACTGTACAAAATGATAAAGGAATATGATAGCAGTATTTACAAATAAACAAGAAGCATCATCATAACACCCTAATAGCCTACTGATATCAGTAGCAAAACGAAACAATCAAATTCGGTAGCAGTCGCATTCACATTTTAAATATAAAAAATAAGGCATAAGAATATTATTCTACAAAAGCCATTTATGCTCAGGCAAGGCACTGCACATGTTGAACATTCATTTTTGCTCTCTAAGCAACCTTTCTTTCTCTTACTGATAAGCTACTACCAACGACCACCCAGACTGCTAATAGTCATATGGAATACACAACTTCTCACCATTTGTTCTCAACACTACAGAACTTCGTTACAGATACAAACACATAAGTCATACGCCTATGCACCACTGCTTACAATCAAAATGCAAGGTTTAGCGTAATAAAATTAACTAAAGAACAAGTAAGTAACCGATGGTAAACCGACTGTTTAAAGGCGCGAAAATCTAAATCGAAAATTTATTTACAGAAACAACATAAACGTGAGTTGAAACTCACCAAATTATTAATAACAAGAAAATACATATTGGTCCTATTGAGTACTAACAAAACTAAAAAAATTCTCTCTCAGCTATGTCAGCAGTCGAATTAAAAATGCTTTAAATGTGAAAATTACTGTACTCGCTAAAACAATAATACTTAATTGTTTTACTAAATATCAAATAGAACTAATAAATACAATACAGAGTAAAATACACTGATAAATACAATACAGAGCATGTGGGAGAAATATTATTAACAAGCTCAAAAGACAAAATGAACATTTTTCAAATTTCAGCGATAAAATATATATGGGCTTGATTTATTAATACTTGCAAAATTTTTAAAAGTACTGCTCAAAATAATTATCAGAACGACAAAGAAAACAGAAGCAATACTCGGACAACACCATCTAAACAACTACATACTCAATCACACACTAACCTACAGAACTGAATAGACCGTTCCGAAAACTTACACTACAATTACATGCACCTCATTAATTATCAGCCAATTGGAGCTTCTCTCATGAATCTCAATCTTCATTGATGTAACTTCGACTTCCCTATCAAAATCAGCTCGTAGTGTGCCACGCTTATTAAACCGAGCAACAGATGTAAAATTATCTTCATTTATTTTTTTAATCAGCAGTTCTGCAGTTTCATTTAATATATCATCCTGATGTTCCGGGTTACCAGTACGGATTACAACTCCTAAAATTCTTAAAAGTTAAAAAAATAAATAAATATATTGTCATCAAATTTAACAACTAACCGATCAATGAAAATACAGAGTAAAATTCAAATAATATGTAGTCGTGAGCAACTGGAGCAAAGGCCCAATAATAGTTACGACCGTCATAAGCACTATTAATATCTGGAAATAACAATTTTTAAAATATTAAAAAATTTGTAAACCTTAAATCCTAATGCTTAAGCTTTCTTGACTGAAATCACTAAGAAATATTTTCGTTCATTTAATGCACTTGAATGTACAGAAATTTTTTGAAAAAATTAGTATTAAAAGTGCTAAAGTTGATTTCTGCTCTCAACAGCTTTTGCCCAATATTACTTTGGTTTCATAAAAATACTTTTCCGCTAATGTAGATTTAATTTAATGCAAAACGTAGTATATTTACCCTAAATAGCCCTAGATTAAAACATACTGTTGACAACACTTTAACAGAAATACTCTCAAAATTTTCCACTATATGAACTACATGTAATATCGTAAGTTAATTTTTCTAAAGTCATTAGTATTATAATTGGCAGAACTAAGTTAAAACTGCACAGATTAGAAACAAAGTCAACGACTTACCAAAAACCATATAAGTTTTTAGCGATGTAGTGATTTTTGCAGGAGGATTGTCATTATGAGGTATATACAACTGATCTTTACCAAAATCTCGTTCCCGCAATTTTTGTAATTTTCCAGTCAACGATGAATGCACACCAATATGCTGAAAGAGGGAGGGTCGATGACGAATGCGGTGTCGCTTGACAACCTGAAAAATAGATATTTTAAATACACATCTAGATAAAAATTATTAAAAGCTTTATCATACCAAAAACAACATCTTCATTACCACACTTTTTGCATCGCTCAATTTTCAGCAATACTACACATTTAAAAATTTTATATAACAATGATAAATCAAAGATGACAGATTTTCAAAACTTCTGCTCTAGATTTTGAAAGCCAGATTTATAAAAAAAGTCTTCCCACTGTCTTTCATAACACAAGTAGATACAAGTACCAGTCAGTAACACAACAAAATGCAGCTAAAGATTTTTGAAGTTCCGTTTTCAGAATACTTTTTAGAAGAATGATTTCTGCCCCTTAAAAAAGTGTATCAAAACTTTAACACGCAGCATGGAAAGTTGTCAATGGCACCTCAATATATCCTAATAAAATATTGAAGATTACTATGATGAGTGCACTATTCTTCTATTTTTTGTTTGACATGTTAGACAAGAAATTCAAAAACGTGCAACTAACCTCAGCACAATTCTTATCGGACTTCTCTGGATGGCAGTATCTATTTATAAATAATAAATCTAGCAACCAATCCACTGGTTTTTGTCGGTAGAACATGGCAATGAACTGTACCAACAGTTTCAAATCTGATGTTCGAAAGAGTTTACCAATAAAACCTAAGGATGAAAATTCAAGCATGAACCAATCAACTGCTGCATTATCACTAATAAATTTCTCGATTGAATGAACATAACCAGGTTTAACGAGTACATCATCCTCTAGCTGCAAATAATATTGGCCTGAAATAATGTTTTCTTAAAAAATATATTTCAACTAACATGCTCGAGCGAAATTTTTAATACTTGGTATATTTGACAGTCAACATACCTCGCCTTTGACAGTACAACATCAAATACATATAATCAAGATTCTGTTTTGTACGCCAATACATTCGATCGGGAGAATCATTGAAAGTTGGAACAACAGAGTGTAAATCAGAAGGATACCATTCAATAGGTGGAACAATAATCTGAAAAAATAGTCTTATAGTCAGACTAGATGGAACTATGGGCACTGCTAATAAGAATTCGAAAAAAAAACAAACAGTTAAAAGTCCTGAATTTATTTCGGGAAAAAATTCTGATTGCAATGATGCACATTGCTGTTTTACAAATGAAGAATTGGAACCCAAGAAGTCGGAAACGAGAACAACGATAGCAACCATTCCATCTCTATTACTCGAAATTCCTCCAATTAACGACTGTAGTGTCGGCAACAGGTAAGACTGCTAAATATTAAATAAACTGTTTCACACAAAAATATATCATGTGTATTTTCACAAAATGTACTTTACAACTATTAAACTTGGAAGCTTTAAATGGCCTAGTACATTTCGTCGAGCAACTGTTGGTATGCCAATCACAATATTTGATTCTATCTTTCTTGACGAGTTTTGCGGATAAATTACAGCAGGATACAAAACACTGTTTGCATAAGCATGAAGATGAGGCAAAAAATCAGCAAATAATGGCAGTTGTAATGTTGCGGAATTCTGAAATCCTTGAGCAAATTAGATGAAAAACAAAATTTCTTATTATTGGGAAAAAAGCAAAAACAGACAACGCTCAGTTTATCATTTTACTAAAATTCTACATTCTATTAACTTATAAACTTAACTCTGAATTACTCATACCTGTCACGAAAATGTTAATGTTCACTCCCCTAAAATTTCCGAATACAATTTTGGGAAAAATTAAATACTTAAAATGTTTTAGACAAGCCTTTAATGACAGCCAGATTATTGTTTCGCATTAAATAATACAAATGAAAAAAGATTGGCGTATTATAAGGTTCTAGTAACCTGACAAAAAAAAGGTGTAGATAAGTAGAGTTACCATACCTCGGAGTCATCAGCTGGAAGTTTAGGGACAGAATTCTTTGAGTGACATTCTCGTTT